CCAATGCACGCGTTGGTTAGTAGGGGTCTCTGGGGGTTCTGGCCTTGAACCGTGAACCTTTCGCATGAAATAACAGGATTTGGGGAGCATCAGTCAAGATGGCAGTTCCCTCACAAGCAGGCTAACCGTAGGGACCCGAAAGGTATAGCGGGATTACAAGGGATTATGATGGGCGCCTCCAGGGAAAAAGGTTTGAAAAAAACACTGATTATGAGAAATTTTCAGAAGCCGAAACCCCCCAACAAAAGCGACTCTAGGTGCATGATGCCAAGCCGCCATATATATATATATATATATATGTGCAGCAGATGTGTATATATATATAGCACATATATATGTATATATATATATATATATATGGTATATTATAATATGAAGGCCGAGCAACCTCCGAGGATCTCAAAGGAAGGACGCCAGCTTGTGGTGCGGCGGGACCTTTCCAGGCGTGCAGGTAGCGGAGACGGGCATACTAAATCTTTCAAGCATGGCCCGAAACGCCTACCCAAAACCAAAGGAAACACAATACACAACAAGAGACGCCCGAATCAAGGACCCTCCTACAACTCCTAAATAATATGTGGAAACGCCCCCCCGCCTGCGTAATGGTTCCCATCTTCCACAGCTGCACGAGCTCGGCGATCCGTGGTTCCTTGCAACTGGTCGAAGCAATCTCCAATCTTGCACTCACTCAGCACGCACTGGACGGGTGATCTCAGGCACACACGGCACGGGGCTTGTCCCAAGTGGCCTCGCCCGTCGCCAGGTTGAGCCAGTATGGCGACCCCTGGCAGCAAATTGTTCTACCTTCTCGATTTTACCAGGCCTACCCTGCTATCGCTGCGCTAGCTTATCGGTGGAACCCAACATGGGTAGTTGTCAAAATTAGGGTCCCTTTTTGGGTACCCTAAATATCAGGTGCCGTACTATAATAAGGACCCAAAAAGGGACCCTAATTTTGACAACCACCCACATATTCCTCATCATAGCAATGCCCAATGCTGACAACAATCAGCTGACCCAAGCATCATGTGGCAGCAACGAAACACTAGTCAACAACCGCCTTTTCTACTGTACGTGACCGTTCCACCTACAGAAGCTCAAGATGCGCATGTCTCCCATGCCTTCGGCGTGGTGAGCTCCACCTGTCAACTTAGCGATCTAAACTGTGCTCCCAAGCCACCGTCTTCTTCTTCAAACATCATGTTCCGGGCCATGTTTACAATCATAACGGTCATAACGTTGTAGGGAAGTTATGGTTCAGGGATTGGATGGAAGTGGCGGAATGTAGCTAAAGTGTCTCGCAGAGCCACAACAATTTCATCGAGTCTTCATAGCGTTCTAAGAGCGGAAGTGTGCGATGGGACATTGAATAACCTGAGGCGCGCACGTACTGGGCACCCTGCACCGACGCCCAGAGACACTTGGCAATCTTGGTCCTGATACTTGCAGCATGCAACACTGCAAACGATTTTGCGATCTGAACTATTACCAATCCTAGCAAACCCAAATGCAAGATGAACCCCGATATCCCGGATGCTTACTCCGCCCAGGAAAGCAATATATGCACATATACATATACATAATAATTCATACATTTTCTTAACATACAGGCCTGATCAAGAACCATAATGCGGAGATGCCCTCCCACTTGGAGCAATCTTTACAAGGACTCTTCGTACGGACGCTGGACCAGAATGGGTTTGGGCCACTTGACACCCCCCATCTAAAGTTTGTACCCCCCCATGACTTGGCAATGCTCCTCAATCTTGAAGCAGTGTCATTTCAGCGGATGGGGGAGTTTTTGGTGCTGGGGTTAGGAAGGTCAACTTTATGCCCTGAGGGCATGGCAGTTTGTGGGCCGTCTCCCAGCAACCAGGTGGCGCAGCGGCCTGGCAACCAAACGGGTTGAACATGTCACCGTCAAAAACGATTTGCTAGCCTGGTGAGGAAAGCACTCGACGTGGCACCGTGTATATGAGGATACCACAGACACTGCAATTGAGGTGTTAGTTCAATCTGCTGAGCTTTCCCATGTCATGTTGCTCCTGACGTATTTCTGAATGCATCGTCAGACGTCTTGCACGAGCCTTCTGCATACACGAAATGTGTAGCAGCCTGTGCGTACAGAACGTCATTCTGCGTGCAAGAACTCAAATCCTCGGACGCTTGACCCAATTGCGTTCATCCTTGGATGAAGTGACACACTTCGTGAGCGACGGTGCGGAGATGAACTGAATGAGCTGTTCAGCCCTCTTGCAGGTTCGCATTTGCACGGTTTCATCATTGCGTGACAGCTGCAAGTTGAGCAACGAAAGAGCCTGTTGGTGAAAAGCATTCCTACGCCGTCCGTCCAAATGAAGGGCATCCATCCCAGCAGCGCATAATGGTATAATAATACATATCATCTAGGATGAAGGTGCGCCCGATTGCACTCCAAAAACGGCTCATCACTCAAACGTCGCCTCCTCCGCAGCTGCCGGCTCTGGCATTGGCAGGCGGTCCTCGACAAGCATAGCCATAAACCCTACCACGCGGATGAATTAGATCCATCAATTACGCAGGTCCGGCTATGATACTGCGCATTCGCATCAGAAATCATGATCATGAGTAGATTGCGAAGTCAACGTCTGACGCCACAAACCGCTATACTTCTGCTACGATGCTGCGACATCCCATGGCCTCCGGGAGGGTTGCCTCGGCATCTCAAAATCACTTGGCAGCACCACTCCTCAAGATGACCTGCAGCCTACTGAAGTTTCTGGTGTAAGACATGGAACGAAACTGCACGGATGCGAATTCGAAGGACTGAAAACACGATGTTGCACATTTCCCTGAGGTCACCACAAGGCCCGGCTTCTTGCGCCTCGGGAGGTCCTGTCAAACTCTCAGAGCGGCAGTTTTCCGATGAAGAAGTTACACGAGCTCCGCAATGAAATTGTCTCTGTGGACGGTGGAACAAATCAAGACAGAACCCCTCTGGACAAAAGGCGGCATGTGCTCGATTTTCCCTGCTCCCGTCCAGGCCTTGAACCAGCAGCTCGGATTTTTGCACGAGCTGCAGCCCTTGGGCATGTGATGCATTTTCGCCCTATGAAATGTCTGGTCTCTGACAGGGCCAGCGCATGGAATGCCATGACCAGTAATTACTCTGTTCGCCATATCTCTCTCAGCCTACGGCGCACTTCTGGAGGTGAACTGTCACCTGTGCCCGGCAAAACAGGTTGAGACATCAAGGTTCTGTGGATTTCTGTGGTCTACAGGCAAACCCTCCTCCCCATGGCCAAGAGTGAAGAGGGACGCGCACTGTTCAGGCGGGACACCTCGCCTCATGCCTAAACTTGCTTGGAAGCTTCTACCCATCGTTTCAACTTACATGGCGCAAAAAAGTGAACACTTGATCCCACGTCGGCTTGCCTCCGGCGTGAGCAGGTCTTGCAGCTCCTGCACTTCGTAAGCGACGGTTTACTGTCCATGAGCCCGTCCTACTAGCTGTTACTAACTGCTCCAACGCTGACATTGGTCTCGCCATTGCATGAAGTACGGCGCACACCTGCGAAGGGAAGCTGTAGAAGATGCGCAGCCAGTCCATGGCTGCGATGGCCGAAGTGCTGGCGACACTACTCTATCAAATGATTCTTCCGCATCTTCCATGCTTCCGTCATTCAAGTCGGCAGGCCTTGATGGGCGGCCCGGGCTTTCGGCAGGGAGCCAGTCTGAGCCCAGCATAGGCGGGGTGCGAATAGAAGTGTCTTGGCTTCAGCAGGCCCAAAGTGCCAAGGTATGTTCAAGTTCATGAGCGAACACGAGGAAGGACGAGCCGGTGGATTCCCTAATTTAGCTGTAACACTTTCATGATGTTCAAGCCCGGGACACCATTCAGCGCAAACCCAGAAATAATTATGGAGAGCGCAACCTTTTTCTCGTGCCTGCCGTCGAGCTCGTTCGGCTTGAGTTAAACTAGCGTTGACTCCGCGCAACTGCGACGGAGACGACATGCGCTTGCAGAACCTAAACTCACAAGCTCAAAGCGGCCACTCGGGCCCTCGGCAAGAGCATGCTCGCAACGAATCCCCGAACATGCTTTGGCACATCTGTCAAGTGTGTGCTGCCACTGTTGGGCAGTCTCTGGTCTAAGCACCAGCCCCCTCGCAACTCAGCCAGGAAAAGTCTCAGCGACCGTCGCTAGCAAGGTCGAGGTGCAAATCCAATAGCGACACAGCTGTATGCTTGAAACAAATGATTCCTCAGGTCAGGGAGCTTGAGTTGGCCTTCTAAAAATTTCAGGCGACTGCTGATAAGCACAAGCCGGTCTCTGGATTGTCTGCATCTGGCGTTGTGATGCAGCTTCCTCCGTGCCCTCGGGTCTGTCGGGCTTGTGCTCAGCTGCAGCTCTGCCCGAGCACTCAAGGAGGGCACGCGGCCCAGTGTACAGGGCTCCTGCACACCGTGAAAGGTTGCAAGAAATTGTGGCGGGATCAGTTGCTACAGCGAGTCAGCAGGATGCAGAAGGAGAGTCACAGAAGGATCATGCCGACGTCTTGGTGCATGGTCCCATTACGGCCAGGCCTCGATTTCGGCACCGCTTGTGAGCCGCTCAGGCAGTCACTGCGGCAATTCCTTCGTGCTAGCAGCGCCAAAACAACCCAAACAGCAGCCGCCGATTCTGTCTCAAGCAAATCTCTGCAGCAACTGCGGAAACCAAGTCATCTCATTGCTTACGGCTACAGCTCCATGCCAGACTGTTGGTCGCACTCCTTCAGCAGTCTTCGACATTTGCATCTGCCCCGGCTGGCTCCTGCTGCACCAATCGGCAAGAAGCTGTCTGAAACTGACATGCATCTCCATCAAGCTTACACAGTTAACCCTGTCCTTCGGCCAAACTTCCACCCAACTACACAGTACAAGCAAGAAATCATGCACCCAGCTGACCAACTCACCACAAATACATAGCAGCATCCAACGTGGTTCCCAAATCGCATGAAGAAGGCTACTGACTGGGCCTACTCGCCGATGGCCCCGTGGGGCGATCTTGCCCGGCGGCGGGCACCACCGGTCTCTGGTCTGCTGTTCGCCCCTGCAGGGGAGTCGGTCGTGCTGTCGGTCGTGCTGGACAATCCGAAGTTTGTTTGGGGGGGGGGGGGTGGCGTTCGGACTTTTTGGAGCTGATTGCCATGAGCGACTATCGAATATCGAATTCTTCCATGTTTAGGTGTTGAAGAGTATGCATGCTCTGATACTGGTGACATTGGTGATTCATGACGAGCTTTGGAAAGCACAACCTCGAAAACCTACATCAAGAGCCAAGGCAACTGATGCTTGAACCCTTGAACCGAAATTCCAAATCAGCTGGGGGCAACAGCTCAAGCATAAAATCCGTGGCACTTGCACGGCTCGCTTCAGCCGCTAGCTGTAGCCCTTCACAAGCTTGCGAAACATAGATGCAGCCCAGCGGCAGGAGGAAAACATGGTTGGCAAACCTGCGCAGCAAGACGTTTTGAGATGTCTGAGCAGACAGTTGGCAAACATAGAGATCAAAATGCCATAGTGCCACCCGTCTTCCGGTCTTTGGCTCCACAGTTGTGGGCTAAGCCGCTATGCAAACTGTTCCATGGATATTGCGGCGCTGGTGGTTTCCAAGCCTCCAAAGATCCAATCCTTGGTCCAGGCATAACTACAAACTGCCTGGACTCAGCTGTACCGCTGAGGGACAGAAAACTATACACGTGAAGCCATGAGAATATAGCCGCAGCCTCGGAAGCCAACGACATCCGAACAAAAGCCTCCGCATGATTTCTGCACCAAGCCCTCCAAAGTTGCGATTGTGAAGCCCATCCGAGAAGAGCAGACCGGCTTCTCACAAAAGCAACGGACGTATGGGACCGTCAGTAGAATATCAAGCACAACTAATGTCGACTGCATGTGCAAAGACCAAGCCCAGGCCGGTTGTAGCACAGCTGCAAGCAACTCACACCACAGCAGCAATAATTCCATGTTTAGTCCAGCACATCACACTTGGGACTGACATGGATGCGACTCACTTAGGCCGGGCCGAGGGCGCGACGACTGCCTCTTCACGCACCCCATCTCCCTGCAACATCGCAAGAATAGGCAAGAATGCACGGGCATCCACCTCGGCATCACGCAGCGGTGCACCTCTTGTGGCTGAGTCTCTTTCTCAAGTCTCGCTTTTTCCTGCAAGCAACATTCGGTGTGAGTCGACGTCCCACGGTCCCACGGCGGATCATTGCTGCGACAGGCAGATCAGCGTGGTCAGGACAGTCAAGCCGTGGGACGAAGCACTCGCCGTAGCAGCAACCCAAGGTGGCACTGCGTCGCCTCGGCCTGGCGACGCAGTGTCTCTTCAGCTTCGACCACGACCTGCCGCAGGAAGTTGAAAACAGCTCGGCGGGACAGGCAGGCCAGTGCCTGCTCGCAGTTTTGAAGCTCCTGTTCTGCGACGCCTGAACAGCACAGTCCGCAGTTCGGAGCGTTCTTCCAGTGTAGAGCCGAACGCCTTTTGCTTTGGAATTCTCGAGTGCCTGCCAAAGAGAAAGCAAGCAAGCAAAAAGGCAAAAGCCCAGCGACCGATGATGCCTCCTGCAAGGCTTGCAGGTTTTCAGGGCCGCTGCAGCCCTGGCGGGCCCTTAGAAGCTGCATACTGCCCCCCGCGAAATGCATCACCGCGATGCGGAAAGAACGGATACGCCAAACTCTGTAGAGCCAGGCAAGAATGCAGCTGCCATGAGCTGGTCGCTTGCAGCATCCCGCTCCTTGTAGCCCAAGGGCATCCGATTTGGGCCGCATTACAACAAGCAACAGCAAAACCACGTCCTTCAGGTCTTGCAGCCGCAATCTTGCCATGCAAAGCAGAGACTCATCTTTCACCTCGCAAGCGCCAGTCTAGACGAGATTGCGAAAGCCACAGAAGAGCACGCCGGGCACGCTGCCTGTGCCTGCGTTGCCTCCTCCAACGCTGCCTGCGATACTCGGAATATGTCCATGCACAGACCCCTGAAACTCCCCCCAAAGAGAACCCATGGCCGTGGCCTCCAGGTCTCGAGACGGCATGCTCTCTTCCTTACTTACCATATGAGCGTTGCCGGAAGACACCCACTCAAAGCTAAGTGTGACTTCATTTAAGACTGACTTGGGTGTTCTCTTTCGTCCTTGTGCATCTGCTGTTGCGGTGCGTCTGTCGTGAACCCCATGCTTCGGCTCTTCGTTTGATGCAGTTGCACAGCGCCATATCAATGTTTGTTTTCGGATGGCTGCTTCTGCTGCACTTGTGGCTGCTTGGAAGCTGGAGATCCTAGCCTAGCACGTCTTCGACAACAAAGGACGACTCTTGGCTTCTGCTCCGAATGCTGCAAAACCGGAAGAAACTCCAAAACTTTTGTAGGTCCAAACCAGTGCGCGCAACCTCCTTGGAAAACGCGGAAACATCGCGGGCGCAACGAAAGTGTGACGACAAAACTTCGCTACATCTAACTCTACCATCATCATGGACGCTGCGCAAGCTACATAAAATCAGAAACATTTCGGGCGCCAGGAGGCTGTCACGAAAACACCTCTGCTGCATCTGCTTTGTGGGCGAAACGAGGCCGTTGCAGACACATCGGGTAATCTGCTTCAAACGGGAAACATCACAGGCATGACGAACACGAAAGATATCCGCTGCATTTACTGCATTTGCTTCCTCCACGCAAAGACACCGTCACTGAGAGTATCCACGAATCTGGCTGAAGGTGGAGACGTCGCCGGCACAACGAGACCGTCGCGAAAAACATCCGCTGCGCATCTGATCAAATTGAAAAGCTCGTCGGCGCAATGGAACTGTTCGAACGACATCCTCACATGGATGAAGATTGAAAGGTTAATCGGCGCAACGGATCTGTTCCGCAGGACATCTGCTGCATCTGATTTAGGTGAGGGTGGAAACATCGCGGCTGCAACGATATCTTGCTAACCGTGCTGCCTCACGCGTGCTACTAACGCTTCTGCGTGCTACGTCAGCTATATGCAAAAGTTCGAGGTGGAATTCAATTTTTTCGATCGACGCAAAGTTCACCTAAACCACAAGATCTCAGAGCCCTCACGCTGCCTCGCTTTGCATACCCGCATCCTGCCTCAACTCCTTCTTGGACCACGCGTACTTTCGATTCCATGACAAGCCAACGGCTGCTAGTCTTGTACGAATTTTAAGTTACTTGACCAGCAACCTCAGTTGTAGGACTTAGTCATAGAAAAGGCCGACCTTGCAGTATCCGATCTGAACTGGAAGCATGGTGGGCGCAACGAGACTGTCACGAGCTCTGGGGCGATCACCATGACCTCCTTGAGGCGCACATGTGCACCAGCACGGCGTTGCTCCTCTGTTCACGCGGAATTGAACATGCTCCCGGCTCTATGATTCGCATCATCTACATCGATTGGTCTCTATTAAAGAGATCCCTTTGCGAAGATGGGGATGCCACGAACGGCACAGCCACGTCCTCCTGTGAAAGGCCGTCATTCAGCACGACCAAAGCTGCTTTTCCCTGATCCCACAATGCCATTCAAGCTCGATGCTGGCAGAGGCTGGCACTGCTAATGACAAAGGCCCCCCATACCCTCGAAATGCGAAGCTGGGCCGAGGGCTAGATGCCCTGCAACCAGATTCTCTGCCCTGCGAGGGCTTGCGATATGTTTGACGAAATCCAAACCGCAAGAAAAAGTGAAACAGCGGAACCCCATGATTCTTAGGGTCAAATCCTGAGCCACGGGCCTCACTCGCTTCAAGTGGCATTTGAGCACCTCGGAGTGACTTGCTGTTTGGGCAATGCTTCGAGATGCGTGAGGGTTTGGTATCGATGATATGGTATAAATGATCACCTCACCGAACTTGTTGAAGTAGTGGTTGTCCGTTCGATGCAACAGTCGGATGTGCAGTAACCCTTGCAATCCTTGCACGCAAACTCGGACCACAGGTTTTCTCGGCAGAGAATCTCGTCGAGTTTTCTATGCAGTCGGGAATGGCTCGATCCTCAGGCTCGATAGACCACTAGCCGTTTTAGCGAGTACGGCAGATGGTGAGTGGTTCACTCATATTCTTGAGCCATCTTTGCGTTCCGTGCGGAGCATATACTACTGCACTCCATCACCGCGGTCCACAAAGTGGTCCCGTGTGCGTAGGCGAAGGCTAGGAGACACACGGCCCACAAAGTGGTCCCGCGTTCTATGTACATGGGCTTCCATGACATGTGGCTCATAGCATAACCAGCGACACCTACGACTCGGACAGGGCATCGAGGTCCATTTCGCACCCGGAGGCACTACTCACTAGGAAGAGAGTCGTGATTGGAAAAGAAAGCTGTCCGCACAACTTTGAATGTTGAAAGATTTGAGGATAAGAGCCGAGACTTCCCAATTTCGAAATGTTGTGACACTTCACTACGTCAGTAACGATCCGCCGAAATGACAACGCAGAACCAGAGAGTCACCGAAGAAAGAAGCGGCTGTGACGGAGTCACCGTAAGCGAACCAGTGTCATGTTGATGACGAGGTAAAAGGTCATCCTCGATGATCCGCCTCCCAGCTTCGAGTTTGTCGACGGGTTTGCTCGCGTTGATCGGGGATCTTGTTCTTCCTCTTGCCCTTGTATTGGAGCTTGATCAGGTAGGTCCAACGACATAATCATGTCCGATCGGTCCTGTGTTCTGAAGCTTTCGCACATCATGGCGATGATCTGCCTGCCTTTGATAATCCTCCCATAAAAGTTCCTGACGTACTCGTTCGTCGTGCGGTTCACCTCCAGGTAGAGCTCAGCAGCTCTATCGCTGCCGGTCCGCAACATTGCGATCATAGCGACGCCAAGCTTGATATCAATGCTCTTGAACATTCTGTGACCTGAGTCATTCAGTGCATCAATATCAGGATGGGGACGGAAAGCACGACTCAACCATCTCTTCCATTGTTCTCGGTTGGGATCCGTGCACGCACTGAGAACATTCGCAACACGACGAGCCATCCAGTTGTCAAGATGAGTCACCGTCGGAAAAGGAGGTACAACAACCTTGTCGGCTTCTCGACGAGAGATTTTGACTTTTGTGACTTCGGGATCATCACGATCGTCCCCATCATCGGGATCGTCATTGTTGGGTCGGGAGGATCTGGATCGTCGGTAGGTTTCTTTCCGCCTTTTGGAGTTCCGCCGCCTCCGCCACTACCATTCGGATGATGCGGATAATCAGGCTCTGGATCGCCCCCTCGGTCGTGAGATTCCTCGTCATCATCATCTTCATCCTCATCATCATCGTCCTCATCTTCCTCTTACAATGTTCTCCGCCATGAGCTTCCATCCATCACGATCCGCGCGAAGTCGTTGTTCAGCGCGTTGAGCTTTTTCAACTTCACGCTGCATCTCCAAGGAAACCTTTCTCCAACTGACGAAGACGCGCTTGAGTGACGAATTGAACATGAGCGATTGTTCTCTTGGCTTGTCAACGTCATCGATCTTCCTGAGCACCGGGTTCTCCGCATCCGCAACCCGCAAGTCCTCAGCGACAACCCTCGCGATCAACGCATCCGATGCACGTTCACCGCTGTCGTTCACCCCCTTTACCGCGCTGGATGAGGAAGATGTGGATCTTCTCGACATTCCCAATGTGGACAGCAGATCACGAAGTTGTTCATCACGAACAACTTTGGCATGCGTGCGTGTGTCAACAGGCTTGCTGCTTGAGGATGCTGCTGATGCATTATGCGCAAAACGCTCTGGCAATTTCTCCCAAGACAGAAGCGCGAGGCGCAAAAAGCACAGGCGCTGTATCCTCCACTTTGGGAATTGCGGCATCCGGTTGAGTGGACTTGTCACGATTGGCCGGGCTTCGGTGACTTGGGGTATGAGATTCAGGGGATCGCACATCCCTATCTCTGTCAAGCACATCCCACCTGTACTCAGTAGTTCTTGATGAAATTGGCATACTCGAGGTCTGCTGAGAAACTTGCTGAGAAAGACGCCGAGCGGCTTTTACTCACTCTTGATGCGCACGTTCAGCTCCTCTTGGTGCTTCAACATTCTTCTCATCTCACTCCGCTCCTCGTGCACGGTCGGCAAGCTCTGTCTTGCCTTGTCCTCACAGTTCTGGAGTCGACTTTCCGCCTCCAGCCTGCGACGGATAGCCATGTCATGATGTTCTTTCTTCAGATTCACCAAGACGATGTCGAAGGCCTTGATGTTCATCATGAGCAGTGACGCGTAACCTTTGGGTAGTAATCACAGCCATGGCCTCCTCATTCTTGGCGAGTTGAAGGCGCTCATTCAGAGACGACACAGCGAGCTCCGAATTGGCCACGTTTGCACGAAGACCCATATACTCTCTAGGCAACACTTTGGTGAGCTTCTAGTACTCTCTTGCTATCACAAAGCTGTGGCCCTGAGCTTGCTCTTCCATCTCTTCCAACTGCACAACGCTCGTCGCGGCTTCGCTGCAAAGTTCATGTAGTTGTTGAGCTCATTCTTCAGTGGCGAGTTGATCTTGATGCCGTAGAGCACGGGATTGTTCATCCATTCTCCGCAATGCATTGGCATACTCGTTCTGCGTCGCTTGGTTGATCTGGTCCATGTGCGTCATTGCCAGATAAAACGTGTCCCGCTGGCGTTCCAACTCTTGTATCCGGATGCTTGCTCCTTCGTCTTCCTGCTGAAGCTCATTGATTTTAGCAATCAGTGCCTGGATGAAGCCCTCCTACCTCTGCTTTTCGGTCTGGTGGTACATCTGCTGCGCAAAATGCGCTGCTTCCACCTGATCTCAGGGTTAATCCGCTCTGGTCACCGGCAGCCGAATTTTGCACAATAGGAGAAGTATCCTCGATCGCAAGTGTGGCGTCCATGCGTTGGATGTCACTCGTTGGATTCCCAGCAACTGTCATCGATCTTTCACGCACTGTTGCTGATGCCCTTGATCTCCTTCAAGAACTCCTTGGACAACTTGGTTTTGAGCTTGTCCGCGGACTTTTGGTCCGCTTGTCCTTGATCATTGTATCAGCCCCGACGGATTGCAACACTGGTAGAATTGCTCGTTCAGGTCGATCTCTTGCCTTGGGCAACTTTGGTCCTGTGGACGAAGAACGAGACGGAGTAGATGCCCTCGATGTTGTCCTGGTCCTTGCTTCTGAAGCAACCTTGGCGACGGCAGAAGACGAAGACTTAGCCTTCTCTTCTTCCGCGGAGGTGTCGTCAGCGGACTGCACCACCGTGTCATCAGCTGTGGATTCTCCAAGAGCTGGTGCCGCCACTTCGTCGTTGAAGGTCCATGTCGTATTGGCACTCGATCCTGAGGTCATATTGGGCTAGAGCACTTGGCGACCGCGCGCGTAGGCCGGAGCCTACGGCTGATAACCTGCTTGAGGGCTTGGTATCGATGATATGATATAAATGCTCACCTCACCGAGCTTGTTGAAGTAGTGGTTGTCCGCTCGATGCAACAGTCGGATGTGCAGTAACCCTTGCAATCCTTGCACCCAAACTCGGACCACAGGTTTTCTCGGCAGAGAATCTCGTCGAGTTGTCTATGCAGTCGGGAATGGCTCGATCCTCAGGCTCGACAGACCACTAGCCGTTCTAGCTAGTAATTACGGCAGATGGTGAGTGGTTCACTCATATTATTGAGCCAAAGTTGCGTTCCGTGCGGAACATATACTACTGCACTACATCACCGCGGTCCACAAAGTGGTCCCGTGTGTGTAGGCAAAAGTTAGGACGGTAGGAGACACGGCCCACAAAGTGGCTCTATGTACATAGGCTTCCATGACATGTGGCTCACAGCATAACCAGCGACACCTACGAATTGGACAAGGCATCGAGGTCCGTTCGCACGAGAAGCGTCTAACAGAAGGAGATGCCACAACACGCTAATGGCAGACAATGAGGGCACTACGGGGTCCTCATCCTCCTCCTCCTGCAGATGGCGATACGGAAATCGACAAGGACAATGATGCTGCGCACTGCAAGCTCCAAGTCGAACCCTTCATCAGCTCCACCTTGTCGTCTTTGGCATTCGCCTGGCACAGAAATCAGATTTAAATTTAAACCATACAGAGGCCCTTCAACCTCCACAACCATGGCCTCAAAAGTCTGGCTACTCTTGACATTAGCGTTATAAGGATCTGAAGCAGCCTTGGATTGGAATACATCGAAATATTTCGAAGCATTCCAAAGCGTTTTGGGAGCGTTTCCTTGGGCCGGTGCGTTTTGAGAAAGCGTTTTGTAATTAGCCATTGGATTGTCAGTGGCATGAGAGCTAGCTTCAGAAGTGTCTGCAAATGCAGGAGTAGCATTGGAGAAGCAGCAGGAGTGGTAGCAGTTTTCCAGCACTTACCGAAACCATGCGACGACGTAGATTCCAACCTGCAACTGTACGAAGCTGCCGCAACATACCAGGATGAACCTTCAACTTGGCTTTTCGCAGCTTCAAAACTCTAATAAGCTTCCAAGCCACTCTTCCAAGCCCTACGGCCCTAAGCCCTAAGCCCCGAAGCCTGGACCGTTGCTTTTAGGATCGGGCCTGCAACCTGACACTACCCATGCAAGTTCCGTTTTGCTTTTAAGGCTTAGGCTTAGGGTAGGAACGTAAGCAACCTGCACCCGCACTGCGGGAGCAGGTTGCTTACGTTACGTCGGTAGATTTGGGCCAGCGGGTGGTCGGGGGACAGGACGGCGTGGATCCGGAAACGCTTTAAAAACGCTCCGAAACTGCTCCGCCGTTCCGGAAACATTCGAGAAACGCTCCAGAAACGCTCCGAAAACGCGTCGAAAATTTTTCGCCGGTCCTGAAACCATCCAGAAATGCTCTAAAAACGCGCCGAAAGCTCTCCGCCGGTCTGGAAACGCTCCAAAAACGCTTCGAAGATGCTCCGAAATTGCTCCGCTGCTCCGGAAAGAAACGAAAACGCTTCGAAAATGCTCCGCTGTGCTCTGGAAACGCTCCAGAAACGCTCCCAAAACGCTCTGGAAACGCTCCGAGAACGCTCCGAAAATGCTCCGCCGGTCCGGAAACGCCCCAGAAACGCTCCAAAATCGCTCTCAAAACGTTCCAACAACGCTCTGCCAAAAGCCTTCGGCGAATAACCACTCGGAAAAACGCTTCCAAAACGCTTTTTGGAAACGCTTTGAAATCTGTTCAAGCCTGGCCTTGAGCCTCCTCAAGAGTTTGGGGACATTGAAATTGGGTTTGGGGAAAGGTTGAGGCGAGGGCCGGTTCCGTGAGGATGAGCGGGGGTCGGGGTTCAGTTACGGGGAGAGGCGGCGGGACTTGGGCTCGGTTTATAAAGCGGTACTTCTGATTTCCTGACATAATTCCCGCAATAGCCTCCATAGCATAGCAGCATAGCAGTAAAGCCTACTTGCATGAGTCGCACATGAGGGATCCCAACGCACTTCTGTTTAAGGATTGCATTCTATCCATGGTCTACCCCGGCAAGCTTGCCAGATGCAAAATATGCAGGTCCACAAGCCAATATACGTGTGCACATGCCGGCTACCGCGAGATGCGAGTTGCTAGGTCGGGCCCCTGTTCACCCTGTTCTCATATGTTTGTTGGTTCCGTGTGCTTCCCGAGGCCTAAGGTGTCGCTGCTCCGGCTCATGTTGCGTTTCGTGCCTGCTGCTGGACAGAGACACAAGGCGCGCACACACACACACACACATCAACCAAAACGCTTTTGACAAACGCTCCACAGGGACTGCTACCAAAACGCTTTCCCAGAATGCTTCCAGAACACTCCGTCCTCACAACATTAGCGTCGTGCCTGGATGAGCTTGTGCTTGACCTGTCGCAGGGCAAAATCCAGCTGCTCAACGAGCGACTAACTTAAATGTACATTTCTAACTCTGTCTGCGTAGATATGTGTATATATATATGTATATACATACATACATACATACATACATGTACAGGCCTCTTGGAAGTCCTGCGCATAGGACAGCGCACTGTTCCCCTGCCATCAATACAACAAAAGCTCCAACATGCGGCTCCAGCTTCGTCAAAACAGGCAGCTGCACCAGGCGGTCCCGTGCATTCGCGTCAGCGTTCTCTTCCAGGAGAGCCTGCAACACCGAAGGAATCCCAGCAGAGTGACCGGAGTCTGCGAAGGCCTACTTCTGATGTGGGGATGTTTTTGTTACATTGAGCTCACGCGACTCGGCCAAAGAGTCCGTGCAAATTTACAGTGTGGCATTCAACCTCACGCACCCAGACTCCAACGATACTGGACAAGGTACCATGGGCTCCAAGTCGAGCGCATTCCCAAGTGAAGAGTGTGAGGAGGCAAGATTTGCCCTGCTCACGCGGGGTTCGTAAGTCTTCATAGTAAACAAATGCAAATAATCAATATGGTTTCCTTACGATGGTGCCTTACCATAAACCCTTTGAAATCAGTGACCAAGCCAATCCAAGGCGGGCGCAGCCCTGCAGTTCTAAACCGCTGTCCTGCCTGGACAGCGTCTGCATCACCAGCTCCGGCAGCAAGCATCAAAGCCTCCACCAAGGCACATGAGCATGCAAGACTTTGAGGCTGGTCCGCGCATTTACTTCTTTTTTTCGGACTCTGCTTGGGCTCAGGCTGTGCATCCGTTGTGGTCACGTGCATCGACCATGGCACCGGCATCCAGTAGCATGCGCAAGATCTCTACCTGTGTCCCATCTTCCAGGCAGCTATGCACGGTCGCTTCTGTGCCGCGCCTTCGAGCTCTTCACTGCATGGTGGAGGGCACTCTTTCGTGCATCGTCCACACTATGCACGTCCACCTCCACTGGCAAACGCTGCTGGCTCTGCATGGCTGTGAAGTCTGCGATGCTGGCATGAAGGCCTCCCACTCGCGTAAGAGGTAGTCGACCTTGCGGGGTTTCGCTCATTACGGCGTTACCTTTGCATGGGTTTGCACTAGAGTTATGACTTTGTGTTCTCTGCGAGGGGCACGATTCTGTAGATATTTATTTTTACAATATATTTACACTTATTTTATGAATCACCGAATCTGCGGTTTATGATATTTTTACGATTACATAGGATCACTGGATTTACAATTTCTTTACAATTATTTTACAATTTATTTACACTCGTTTTTCGACAGCATCCGGATGACGATAGAATCTGTAACCGAGACTACACCATTGCACGAATAACAGTGCACCTGTTTCAAACCTGCGCGAACCCTCTCATATTAGCGCATGAACACCATGCGATATAATTGTAGAGGTTAATTACGAACTCACAAGGGTGGGCAAAAAAAGGCAATTTGCAGTGCCTGGTCTCGCCACCGCGTTTTTCTGCACGCAGCAATCCGGTTCGAGGGCTTGTCCAGCTTTGCGGGGCAACCAAAAGGCCAATTCAGACTAGGAGGGAGGGCAAGGGTTGGAGGGAGGGGGGTGTGCGGGGGGTGGAGGGGGCAGGGGCGCTGGGGTGCAGAGGGGGGGTGGGTGGTGGGGGGGGTGGTTTGAGTGGCGGGAGAGAGGGTAGGGGGCGTGAGCAGGGGTCCTCGGAATGAGGACGGGGAGGGGGCGGAATTTTGGTTTTTATATAAAAACCCAAGGAATTTATGATTTTTTTATGATTTATTTATGGATTTTTTATGATTTCTTTATGGATTTTTTATGATTCTTTTATGGATTTTTTATGTTTTTTTTATGCTCCCGAAAGCACCCCCATCCCCCCTTCCACCCCGCTTGCCCCTGGCCGCAGCCACCGTCCCAGCCCAGGCCCCCTCCCCGGCTCCCGGCCCTAGAGATCAATTTTAGATCTTATAGACGCGTCATCGCCGTACCATGCGGGGTGTCTAAACTTGGTTTGCACACGAAAACGACCAGTTGCTCAAAACGCTCTAGCTTCAGTACATGGGGGAGGGGGAATGTTTAAAGAGTATATAATCATAGCTTGTGTGTAGCGTTGTCGTGTTTAAACAGGTTTAAAAAGGAAGCCGTGTTTCCCAAACAGCCTGCAAAGGAGCTTCGTGCTGAGCCAATGCACAGATGATATGAACTGGATGCGGGCTCATGTGTCTAGTCATAAGAACAAGACAATCATGTCAGAGAAGCTGCGCGAATGAGATAATCTGAAGTGTAAAAAAACCATAAAATACCCATAAAACAAGAAATCCACGAAACATAAATACATCATAAATTAAATGTAAAAATAAATATTTGAGATCATGGCCCACCACGCAGAATCCAAAGTCATAACACTAGAGTTGATTGCTGTAGCTCGATCTTGCTGTGCGTGATTGTGCGTGGCGTTGCCGGGCTCCCCAGCAAAGTCTCGCTTCCCCATAGCTGATGCGAACATCAACGGCGTGCGGCCCCGGACGTCGCTGCGGTCGATGAGCATCTTCGTGTGCCTTGGCAGACACACTCCGGCCCTGCCTCTCTCCGCTCTCTCTCAATCAACAAGATGCGAAACCCTCACTCCTGGCACATTGGGTCTTTTGATTTTGTGTTGTTGCCCTCGCGTACTCGAGTCTCAAGTCTCTGTGCCGGGTCGGGGACACCGGAGAGAGGCCCGAGCGATCTGTACCTGGCAACCCGAGAGCAAGGAAAGCGACTCTCTTGCACGGGCTTCTGATTCTGGCGCCTGGCTCGAGGACCCCAGCCTCAGAAGCAACGGTCGCTTGCGGTCTCGCCTTTTCTGGACACCCACTTTTCATGCTCTGCGTGCCTCGGCGATGGCCTTGAAGGCTTCCAGATCTCCCACCTCTCCGAAGAATGGGTGATTCTTCAAATGCTCGGAACGGCTCTGTGGCGCCGTCCTCGCCAACTCAAGCAGCATCGTGACCTGGCGCAACAGCAAAGGGGAGAGTGTGTAGTTACAGGACGAGGAGTCATAATATTTAGCGGAGCCAGGTGTGAAAAGCGCCGGCACGACCGTCTGCACACGCGTGTTCGCATCAGCGCTTTCCTCCTTAACCTGGCAGGGTGGCCAACAAAGAAGAAAGTGGCCGCTGGACTCCGACTCGCTGAGCCTCGTGGGCGGAAGCCTTCATTAAACCTTCGAAGGCTTGGTGTGAGACTTGGAAAAAGTTCTTGTCCGGCCCGGTCTTGGGCCGACACTGCGGATACATGCATTGAAGGGCTTGGGTCCCTCCTCCAACTTGGCCCAGATTGGGTGTGCTTCGCGCGCAGGAACATGTTTGTCATGAGGAGAAGCAGCAAAAGGCAGGGCTAAGTCGAGAAAAGGGGGCCAGATCCGGTAGATTCTTGGATTGCGGCTTGTAGAAAGCTCCAAATTTGGGACGCAGGCAGGCAGTTTTGGGTCCAGCAGGCTCACAGGTGTCAGAGAGCACGCCGCCCTCAGAGAGCTTCAATAGGGTGCTGCCGCTGGAGTCCCAGACGTCCAGCTTCTTGCTGGTGTTCCTGGAGCAAAATGGCGTCGACTTGGCCAGATCGACGGCCGCAGCAAGATCTCCATTGAAGGGAGCGGCGGGAGGCCATGCTGCAGTGCTGCAGAGCGCAGGCCAAACCTGCTAGCCCAACACCAACGACCAGCACCTACCGCCATTGAAATCGGCGGCGAGGTCTGGCACATGCCATTTGGCCAACATCCCGCCAGGGTATTCGATGCGCCACCGTTGGCTGCGACGTCCGCTAGGATGTTGAACCGCTCCAAATCGCTCCAAATATTTCCCAGTTGTGACACGCTGCCCATGCACCGCCTCGCCGTGCTCTGCCGCCGACGAAGCCACCAACCGCCGGCACCTGCAGCCGCACAAACCGGCTACAACAGACTCCAATGCACGCGTTGGTTAGTAGGGGTCTCTGGGGGTTCTGGCCTTGAACCGTGAACCTTTCGCATGAAATAACAGGATTTGGGGAGCATCAGTCAAGATGGCAGTTCTCTCACAAGCAGGCTAACCGTATAGGGACCCGAAAGGTATAGCGGGATTACAAGGGATTATGATGGGCGCCTCCAGGGAAAAAGGTCTGAAAAAAGCACTGATTATGAGAAATTTCCAGAATCCGAAACCCCCCAACAAAAGCGATTCTAGGTGCATGATGCCAGCCAAGCCGTCATATATTCATATAATATGTGTGTATATATATATATATGTATATATATATATATATATGTACAGCAGATGTGTATATATATATATATAGCATATATATAATATGAAGGCCGAGCAACCTCCGAGGATCTCAAAGGAAGGACGCCAGCTTGTGGTGCGGCGGGACCTTTCCAGGCGTGCAGGTAGCGGAGACGGGCATACTAAATCTTTCAAGCAGGGCCCGAAACGCCTACCCAAAACCAAAGGAAACACAATGCACAACAAGAGACGCCCGAATCAAGGACCCTCCTACAACTCCTAAATAATATGTGGAAACGCCCCCCCGCCTGCGTAATGGTTCCCATCTTCCACAGCTGCACGAGCTCGGCGATCCGTGGTTCCTTGCGACTGGTCGAAGCAATCTCCAATCTTGCACTACATGGGGCCGCCAGGGCTACGCAATGGAAGGAACGTTCAAAACCCCTGGATGCTGCAAGGAAAAAACACCTCTGACAAGAAAACTCGTACTGATGGCTCCCGTGTCTTTAGTAGGGAATGTGGAAATCGATCACGTTAACAGTCCCTCGCTCACTCAGCACGCACCGGACGGGTGATCTCAGGCACACACGGCGCGGGGCTTGTCCCAAGTGGCCTCGCCCGTCGCCAGGTTGAGCCAGTATGGCGACCCCTGGCAGCAAATTGTTCTACCTTCTGCGCTCCCTCACTTTCCGATTTTACCAGGCCTCCCCTGCTATCGCTGCGCTAGCTTATCGGTGGAACCCAACATATTCCTCATCATAGCAATTGCCAGTTCTGACTCTAATCAGCTGACCCAAGCATCATGTGGCAGGAACGAAACACTAGTCAACAACCGCCTTTTCTACTGTACGTGACCGTTCCACCTACAGAAGCTCAAGATGCGCATTTCTCCCACGCCTTTGGCGTGGTGAGCTCCACCTGTCAACTTAGCGATCTCAACTGTGCTCCCAAGCCACCGTCTTCTTCTTCAAACATCATGCTCCGGGCCATGTTTACAATCATAACGGTCATAACGTTGTAGGGAAGTTATGGTTCAGGGATTGGATGGAAGTGGCGGAATGTAGCTAAAGTGTCTCGCAGAGCCACAACAATTTCATCGAGTCTTCATAGCGTTCTAAGAGCGGAAGTGTGCGATGGGACATTGAATAACCTGAGGCGCGCACGTACTGGGCACCCTGCACCGACGCCCAGAGACATTTGGCAATCTTGGTCCTGATACTTGCAGCATGCAACACTGCACACGATTTTGCGATCTGAACTACCAATCCTAGCAAACCCAAATGCAAGATGAACCCCGATATCCCGGATGCTTACTCCGCCCAGGAAAGCAATATATGCACATATACATATACATATTAATTCATACATTTTCTTGACAGACAGGCCTGATCAAAAACCATAATGCGGAGATGCCCTCCCACTTGGAGCCATCTTTGCAAGGTCTCTTCGTACGGACGCTGGACCAGAATGGGCTTGGGCCACTTGACACTCTAAAGTTTGAACCCCCCATGACGTGGCAGTGCTCCTCAATCTTGAAGCAATGTCATTTCAGCGGATGGGATTTTTGGGGGTGCTGGGGTTAGGAAGGTCATCTTTCATGCCCTGAGGGCACGGCAGTTTTTGGGCGGTCTCCCAGCAACCAGGCGGCGCGGCAGCCTGGCAACCAAACGGGTTGGACAAGTCACCGGCAAAAACGATTTGCTAGCCTGGTGAGGAAAGAACTCGACGTGGCACCGTGTATATGAGGATACCACAGACACTGCAATTGAGGTGTTAGTTCAATCTGCTGAGCTTTCCCATGTAGTGTTGCTCCTGACGTATTTCTGAATGCATTGTCAGACGTCTTGGCACGAGCCTTCTGCATACACGAAATGCGTAGCAGCCTGTGCGTACAGAACGTCATTCTGTGTGCAAGAAATCAAATCCTCGAACGTTTGACCCAATTGTGTTCATGCTTGGATGAAGTGACACACTTCGTGAGCGACGGTGCGGAGATGAACTGATGTTGAGTCCCGCTGGCACGAGATGAGCTGTGCAGCCCTCTTGCAGGTTCGCAGGTGCACGGGTTCATCATTGCGTGACGGCTGCAAGTTGAGCAACGAAAGAGCCTGTTGGTGAAAAGCATTCGTACGCCGTCCGTTCAAATGAAGGGCATCCATCCCAGCAGCGCATAATGGTACGGTATAATAGTACATATCATCTACGATGAAGGTGCGCCCGATTGCAGACTCCCAAACGGCTCATCACTCAAATGTCGCCTCCTCCGCAGCTGCACGCTCTGGCAGTGGAGCGCGGTCCTCGACAAGCATAGCCATAAACCCTACCACGCGGATCAATTAGATCCATCAATTACGCAGGTCCGGCTATGATACTGCGCATTCGCATCAGAAATCATGATCATGGGTAGATTGCGAAGTCAGCGTCTGACGCCACAAACCGCTACTTCTGCTACGATGCTGCCACATCCCATGGCCTCCGGGAGGGTTGCCTCGGCATCTCAAAATCACTTGGCAGCCCCTCTCCTCAAGATGACATGCAGCCTACTGAAGTTTCTGGTGTAAGACATGGAACGAAACTGCGCGGATGCGAATTCGAAGGACTGAAAACACGATGTTGCACATTTCCCTGAGGTCACCGCAAGGAGAGGCTTCTTGCGCCTCGGGAGGTCCTGTCAAACTCTCAGAGCGGCAGTTTTCCGATGAAGAAGTTACACGAGCTCCGCAATGAAATTGTCTCTGTGGACGGTGGAACAAATCAAGATAGAACCCCTCTGGACAAAAGGCGGCATGTGCTCGATTTTCCCTGCTCCCGTCCAGGCCTTGAACCAGCAGCTCGGATTTTTGCACGAGCTGCAGCCCTTGGGCATGTGATGCATTTTCGCCCTATGAAATGTCTCGTCTCTGACAGGGCCAGCGCATGGAATGCCATGACCAGTAATGTCCCCAGTAATTACTCTGTTCGCCTGATAGAAAGATAGAAGGCTTCAGTTGAGGCCTCGCTTACTGTGCTACCTTGGCCATCGGATGCTTTTCAAGGGCTCAAGAAGAGCTCCAGTTGAAGGACACAACATGCCTAGGCGGTGCCATGTCTGTACATTTAATCGGCAAGGATCTAGAGCATTGACAGTCCGCTGAGCGCAAAAGTGTAGCTTCTCTCTGCCGCGTTTCATGGTTTAGCGCTGTCTCCGACTGCATAAGTCTTTATTCTGAACCGGCGAGAACATCAATTCGATTATCGAGAACTTTCAGGTTATGGCAGCCCAACCTCCCGACGCGACTTCCGCTACATCAAGAAACCATGAGGGTTACGGGACGGTTCTAACTGGACAGCCTTTGGTCAATGGGGTTGGAAATGGTCTGCGACAAGGTGGTGCATATGTAGAGCATGGTGATGGACAGCTGTTGGAAAATCCCAATCTGCATGATCCAGCTCCTCCAGCACCCGTACAAGCCTCCCAACCAACAGGAACTATGATGCTACAGGAGTCTTCGGGACCACGAGAGCCGCCTTATCTGGGTGGCGTCTTTCCCAAGGCAAGCATGGCTGTTCAGAGTCGAACCACAATGCCTATGATACCTGGAACTCAACGTGTAGAAACAGCCCCGCCAACTCCGACAATCCACACACAAGAGTACTTTTCTGCAGAGTCTCGTATGTCAGCTACAAGTTCAGAGCAGCAACAACAAGGAATGAGATGGATGACGAGAATGACGGAGTTCTTGAGAACTACGGCGAGCAGAGGAGT